TATGGGGCTGGGCCGAGGTGGATGGAGAGTGGGTCAAAGGTTGTGGTGAGGTGTGGAGATGAAACGGGTTAATGTCCTCTGGAGTGTCTAGAAATTGTAGGTCTGATGGGGAGGTGGGGTGGTTGAAGGGAAACGTGGATTCATCAAAGACGACATGGCGGGAGATGATTATTTTATTAGTGGTAAGGTCTAGGCATCGGAAACCCTGTTGGTTGGATGGGTAACCAAGAAAGATGCATCGGGCTGAACGTGGAGAAAGTTTATGTGGGGCGGTTGCAGAAGTGTTTGGATAGCAAAGACAACCAAAGACACGAAGGTGTGAGTAAGTAGGTGGTGTTTGGAAAAGAACTTCATGAGGAGTGCGTTGTTGGAGGGTGGTGGTGGGCAGAAGATTGAAGAGATGACACGCCATGTGGAGGGCTTCAACCCAGTATTCAGGAGGTAATTAGGCTTGAAACAACAGAGTTCGGACGGTATTGTTCACGGTGCGTATTGTGCGTTCTGCCCGGCCGTTCTGTTGGCTAGTATGAGGACAAGAGAAGCGGAAGAGAATGCCTAGAGAGTTAAACATGTTTTGGAGGGGAGTTTCTATATTCAGTTCCATTGTCACATTGTACAGATTTGATAGTTGTGTTAAATTGATTCTTTACATACGCAACAAAATTTGTTAAGTGGGAAAAAGCATCAGATTTATGTCGTAGTGGAAAAACCCATAAGTAGTGAGAATAATCATCCAAAAGAAGCATATAAAATTTAAAGCGAGTGATACTACAAACAGGTTGCCACAAATCAATATGCATTAATTGAAAGGGAAAATGGGAAAGTTGAGCAGAAGAAGTAAAAGGAAGACGAACATGCTTCCCTAATTGAAAAGCATGACATAAATCATGCTGAAGTTGTTTATTAAAAGAAAAAGAAGATAAATAAGGAACGCTATCTAGGACTGCTGGACTATGGTGACCAAGGCGTTGATGCCACGTTTGTGCTGAAACAGAGGCAACATGAGCTTGAGCAGTGGAGTCGTGAGGGCGCAGGGGATAGAGAGGGCCTTCATTATTGCAACGTTGAATCACAATTCCCGTCCGAGAATCCTTCACAGAAAAACCGTGAGAGTCAAATTCTACAGTGCAATTATTGTCACGGGTAAACTGACGAACGGAAATAAGGTTATGGATGATATGAGGGGAAACAAGTACATTGTTAAGGGAAAATGGTGGGGAGGTAGGTATGGTGTGTTTACCAATCGCCGTAGTGCGTACTTTTGATCCATTACCGGCTGTGATAAAATGTGGAGAATTTAAACTTTGCGAATAAAAATGAGAAATAGTACCTGGATCTGTGGCAATGTGATGGGAGGCACCAGTGTCCATGAACCATGAGGGTTCACGGAGGGTCATCGTATCGAAGTGGTGAGCTAAGGCCGTGGGGTTGAGGGGTTGGGGTTGGGCCGAGGGAGACCCGTAGGTGTAGGGGGGGTAGGGGGTTGGGCTCGGGTTTTGGGGATTCGGGTATGGGTATGGGTTTGGCAGGGAGGAGGGCTGATTTGGGTATGTGGGAGTGGCGAAGTGGGCCTGGGCGGGATAGGGTTGGTGGGTAGGGCGTGGGCCCAGTAAGCCTGGGTCGGGGTTATGGTAAGGGATTTGCCAGGGAGCAAAGTGCGCTGGGGTTGCCCGAGGGTTTGATCCAGAGTTGCGACCTCGACCGTGACCGCGGTTCGGCCATCCACCACGTCCACCATAGCTGTGCCCGCGTCCGCCGTTGCCCTGGGGTTGTCCGCCAAGAAGCTGTCCGCCGTAGTGCTAACCGCCGCCGCTGCCACCCTGCTGACCGCCGCCTGGGTGCTGATCACCGCTGCCCTGCTGCCAGAATCCGCCATGTGCACCTCGGCCGATGGTGGCCAGGGCAGTCCCATCGTCACCTGTAGTTGCGGGCAGTCGGCGTTGTCCTTCGAAGAGGAGAAGAGCCGATCGATTTTCCATGAATGTGGGCGGCGGTTTTTGAAATTGCAAGAAAGAAGCCTGAGAGGCGAGATCCTCGGGGAGCCCACGGAGAGTCTGAAGAACAAGTTGATTCTCTGTGACCAGGGCATCCACGTCATCGAGTCAATCAGCAATATTACGTAGATTTTGGCAATAAGTGGCGATAGTGGATGTCCCCTTGACGGTGTTGTAGAAGCGTTGCTCCAACTGCATAGCCCGAGCGGCCTTATTGTCATGAAACAAGTTGTGAATTGCTTTCCAAAGACTAGCGGAAGAGGTGGTGGAGGAGATGATGAGATCCGAAACTTCGTCATTAACGGTGGATAAGATCCACCCTTGAATGAGTGCGTCAAGTTGCAACCAGTCAATATCATCTTTGCCGGTGGAGGTTGTTGCACTGGTGAGAAAACCTTCGAGATTGAAACACCGGACCAAGAGAAGAAAGAGACGACTCCATTTTTTATAATTTGGTTCCGAGAAGCTGAGGGTGATAGGGACTTGGAGTTTAACGTTTGAGACGGTGGTGAAGGCAAGGTGAGGAGTAGAGGAAGAAGTAGGTTTTTCCGATGACATGATGAGAGGAGGGTTGTGCTGCTGCTGCTGTGATGTTCGGCTGGAGGGGGCTGCCGATTTCAAAGGAGGGTTGTGCTGCTGTTGCTGTGCTGTTCGGCTGGGGGGCTGCCGATTTCAGAGGAGGCTGGCCGGAGGCGGGAGTTGCTGCCGTGAGGGAGAGAAAGAGGGAGGACGGCGCTGGGTGAGAGCCAGCGGTGCCAAGAGAGGGAGAAAACGTATCGGGGTTAGCTTAGGGTTGGCTCTGATACCATGAAGAATTGTATTATTTGATGATCATTATAAGTAAATCACCTCCCCTTATATACATGTAGGAGGTATATTGGAAAGGAAACAATAATGAATGCAAATCCTATACAATCAAGGAATCTACCAAATATAACAATAATATTAAATATGTGATATATACTTTACATATTTAACAGAAACGTTCATGCTCTTGGTAGTTGATAACTACACAAGGTACACATGGGTAATTTTTTTGAGACACAAGGATGATGTATGCACTCGAAGCCTTCAGCTCTTTATGCAATAAAGTACAGAACGAAACACAGCTCAAAATAAAGAAGGTCGACTATGTTGAGATGATCAATTCCTACTACACATCAACTATTGAACCAAAAAATGTGAAGAATCACTAAAATAAGAAGCATGAATAAATGCAGTGCTAGAAGAACTGGGTTAATTCGAAAGATATCAAGTGTGGGAGCTTGTTCCAAAACCAGAAGGTTTGAACGTTATAGGGACAAAATAGATCTACCGCAACAAGACTAACAAAGAATGAAACGTAATCAGAAACAAATCTAGATTAGTAGCTCAAAGTTTGTTAGTTCCTCATATGTTGTCTTTATCGCATCTTGGGTTGGCGTTATTTTTTGACAAACCCAATGGCTATTGATAGTATGTAGTTAGTGTTTTAGCACTTAGCTGGTCATCCTCATCACACCTTTCTACTGAAGGATTTTAGTCAGCAAAGGAGTCTGGCGGTAATGGAGGGGGGAGTACCTATGACTGTGTTGGTGATTTTAGTGTCATCGATTTATTTTGTGTAATTGGATTTACTTCGATCGGACAAGAATTTAAATAGACGTTGGCAAACGAGTTCGGAGGCGCGGAGTGCGCGCTCGTTCAACGATATTATAAATTCATTGCGGGGGTCCAGGGGCGGCAGCCCCCGGTTAGCGGGGTCCAAGGGGCGGCAGCTCCTCGTTTAAACTCGAACTAACGGATAAACGTCAAAATACCCCAAAAACCGCAGGAAGCTCCTCGTTTAAACTCGCGCCTATCTTCTTCTCCGCGCGAACGTACGCGTATGTTTACGCGAAGGTTCATGTCCGATCATGGAAATTTTAGACTCTATAAATTAGAAGTCTCGTGGTATGGATTCATATAGATTCTCGAGTGCTTGTTCTGAATTAACGTCTTATCCGATTGAAGTATTTCGTATACCCCGAAATAACTTTGATCTGAAAGCGTTTCTAACGCGATTCGTTATTCTATCGAGTTCTTCGTTTAACACTGCTTCGCAGGGTTCTTCCTTCTCTAATTCCAACAAAGATCAAAGTTATTCCTAAAGAACTCAAAGATGACGTGTGGCGATTCCGTAAGAGATTTGAGTAGCAAGTTCTCGAAGTTAGAAAAGTTCGAAGTGTTAGACAAATGTGCAACTCTAGAGGGGGGGGGGTGAATAGAGTTGTTCTCAAGAATGTGCGTTTTTCGCGTGTGTGAAATAATAAAATCGCAGGAATAAATAAAAAGAGTAAGGGAAAGAAGAACACCGAGATTTATACTGGTTCACCACCTCGTGGCTAGTCCAGTCCTCCGAGAGACTCTCTCGAAAGTCCTACTAATCTTCAAGCTTCAACGGGTGCTTGAAAAACCGGTACAACTTGAGAACTTGAATCACACAAGCCTCACTTTCTTACAACAACAAGACTTGAGTCACACAAGTCTTAAGAACAACACTCAAATGAGATTGAGTTTACAACACAAGAATGAAAGCTCACACAATTGAGCAAAGTAGTGTTGAAGAATTAAAGCTCTATGGATGACAAAATCTTTAGCACTCAATAAAATATTTCTAACTCTCAAAATAATATATTTGATGAGGAAGATG